ACACTCGGGTCTAAAATGCGGATGAAGGATTATGATAACTCCAAAGGACTTCTCGACCGCTTTTCTAGCCACGCTTGTGCTGATCATGTATCTGGCAGGAAGGGCTCTTCCAGCACCATCTACCACCATAAAGGTGGGCAATTAAATCGTATCGACAAGAGTTGTAGGTGTCATTAACGCTAGTTCATGTTTTCCGTAATTTCCCAACCGAGTTAGCTGCAAGGTTGGGATAGCAACCAAGCACAAACCTGTGTCATCTAGCCTTAGGTGGTAGGAATAGTCTCAAGCCGTCCTGTGAAGTGTTCCTCGCACGTCGCTGCGATAAATTCGAGACCGTTCTCATGAAAATTCCCTCGCTCCATTCCCATCGTTGCTAGGGTGTTCCTGACATCACTTGCTGTTATCCAGTAAAGTCGTTCAGAAGGTGCAAATGTTCCATCCTAATGGCCCCCGTGATACTCGGTACGGAGAACTTTTTCTTCAACGAAAGAAAAAACATTTCTTTCTTGTCGTTGTTCGACAACGGTAGCAAAGCAGCCTTAACAGTGGGACGCACATACAATTCACAATACTTGACATCGATACGTCCATTGGGGTCACTCTCAACAGTCTAGAGTTTAATTTAGTAGTTGATATAAGCTGGCTCAGTTGATATAAGCTGGTTGCCTTTGCATGGCTGCTCCTTTCTTTGCTCTCGATGACCATCCTTCTACATGATCTGAAACGTATTGTTGTTGATGGGATGCAATTAAATCTGATAAACTGAATGGATCTATTTTCTTACCAAAAAGATAAATGTAATTGAAATAGAAACAGAGCAAGAAGGTGTTGGCACCCAAAATATCGAGATCCAAAAAGATTANTGATGGGATGCAATTAAATCTGATAAACTGAATGGATCGATTTTCACACCAAAAAAGATAAATGTAATTGAAATAGAAACAGAGCAAGAAGGTGTTGGCACCCAAAATATCGAGATCCAAAAAGATTAAATATGGAACTCTAACACTAGGACATACTAGCTGTATGGGAAGTATACATCAAAGCTGAATGAGGAAGAGACTCCTACTTTCATGAGAATTAAGGGGAAAAAGAAGGTTACCTAAACAAAACCAGTGAGTTCAAAACAAATCGAAAAAACAAATGCAAAAAAAGTGATGGAACATTGATAGGAGAGCAAAAAGTGCAACAAAATCTAGTTGTTGAACTAAGCAAATGGGTATTCACAGTCAAATCAGGAGGTAAGCAAAAATGAGTGAAGTAAACAAAATAGAGAAAGAATAAAAAACAGCGCACGTCTCCAAAACTTCTCTCCTGCAAGGCTCTGCTTCAACGGTTGAGGGGTTGGTACACAAAGATTGTGAAATTTGAAATACTAAGATTAGTACAAAAGATATATGGAATAAGTGACAAGGTAGAACAGGTTTAGAAAAAAATGAAAAAAAACTAAACGTAGAAGATGGAGCATTGTTAAGTCCAAATGTTGAAATGTTCAATGAAATTCAGATGTTAACTAAGTAAGCCGATAGCAAAGTCCAATCAGTAGTGACTAAAAGATAAAGTTGAAATAAACAGAACAGAAAATCTACACAGAAACCAACCGCGCACATCCCCTCCAGATTGCGAAATCCACAGTCCGATCGAGGTCTTGAAAAATTGCGAAACAATTAGCTGCTTATGGAGATCACGTTAAGAAAATGCACAGTTGCGAAATAGGAAATCTCATGTTATCAAGGTGGGCCTGCAGTGTCTATTCACCCTTAGATAATGTGTTCCAGTGGAAATGGTTAGCAATGTCTGTTTGAGCGCAATGACGCGACGCTCACGCGTAGGGCACTAGGTTTGACCCACTTTGTTCTTTACGTTCTTCTTACACAGCTATGAGGACGTAACAGACTCAGTGATTCTTGCCTTCTGTTGTTCCTTACCGGTTCTTATCAGCTGTGACCAGATACTGTTGCTAGGCATGTACGACACCCTTAAACCTTACTCATCTTTTGAGTTTATTTGGATGGTGCAAATTTCGACGCTCGCTCTTGCTTTGCTTCCTATCAGCCCTTATCAACTGTTACCATTTACTATCAGCCACCCATCAGTGTTTTAGATCTACTGCATGTGTCAGTTTCTAATATGAAAGCTCTAGATATAGGGAAGCGGAAGTTATGAATCTTTCATCCCACAGCGGCATCGACACCGGCACACACATAGCGATTAGTACTATGTAGGATAGTAGTGTATGTGCTCACTACTCACCAGGGAGGGATCTCAGGACAAGTGGCCGTTCGAAATGAGACCTATATCGTTTGACGTGTTTCCGGAGGCAGATCTCAAATCTGCTCTCCAAATTTGCTTTACGATTCCCTGAAAGGGTACAGGGGCGCCTGAGGGCTACATAAACAAACACAAATTACATGGATGTACCAGGTTTCTCAGCGGTCACTAGGAGCTGTGGTAGGTTTTACGCTTTATGTGGAGACTACGGTTTGGGTTTTGTGGGAAGAAAAACATCTGCACTATATGGGATTTCTTCATTGTAAACTAGAAATTCATGCTGATTTTGTCGCGTTCTACGAACTTTCGGAGGTTTTAGTAAAATATTTCCTCCCTGAATAAGCAATACGCTTCATTATTTTGCATGGTCGAACAATCTATGGTCACAGTGAGGCAGAGATGATGCAGTGGCACTATCATAAAAGCACAGTACGAGTTCCAATCCTGCATCGATTATCGTCGGCCAACCAAGTCTTCCATCGCTTCGTGGTCTGTTAGTCGGTTTTGGACTCGTCTAGGTAGATATAAGCACTGAGTATAAACCATATAACGCCACTCTGAATAGAGATCAAATGTGGGAGTATCCTAAAGACTGAAATGCTTGGCGCTAAAAATTTTACCTTTGTTATCCTAGATATTCACGAAATTTCTGGGATTTCAGAGCGATATGCACACTTTGCTTCTGACCCCAAGACTTCTGACTCGAAGAACTTAAACAGATGAGGTAGCGTGGTTGCTCTCTGCAATCAACCACTCTTTCATCGTTACGCCCTGCCTTCTCGCCTCCCCTTGACCAGAGGTTCTTCGTGGTTCCAAGTGGTTACGATCGTGCTTAGCGCTTCGGATTATCTAAGACAAAAGCTGCTGATGTTGCTGACAGTAGACTCATGGGCATCATCCAGAGACCACGAAGTTATTCCGTCAACTTCACCTCAACAAAAGCAGGTAAAGGTAGTGAACATTCTCGCTCATACCACGAAAGCAACGCAGCCCTAGAAGTTCATTCAAGCATTCACCAGGGTGATTTGAGACGCCTACCCGATTCTGTTTCCCTTATGACTTGGTAAGTGGCTGCAGAGCAGCGTGATGTTCCAAATTCGTTTTGATTCGCTGTTCCTTTGCTCAAATTTTTCGTCCATCGCATGTGATCATAAAGGGATGATTTCATCTTGCTGTGAATTTAGACTTACATCCATGCAAAAAAAAATTGAAGAGATATTACATTTTCAGGTAGGAAGTATTTCACCAAAAGCTGCGAAACTTCGTAAAACGCGATGAAAACAACATAAAAGGAGTTCCTAGGTTACATAGGAAAATCCCATGAAAAGTTTCTGCTCCAACAAAAGCCATAGTCTCCAGCACATGAAGAGTCAAGCCTACCACTGCTCCAAGCCACCGCTTAGGGAACGGGTACATCCATGTAACTTGTTTGCTTATGTTAAGATCGCCTAGAATCACCCTCATAGCTCCATTCAGAGGATCGTTCGGCAAATTTGACAGCACATTTGAGATCACCAACCTTAAACACGTCTGAATGCATATAGCTCTCATTTCAAACAGCCGTTTACTTGGGATCCTTCCTTAATCAGTGATATGATCTGTGCTGAAGAATGAGACTGATATTCATTATCCATTAATGCGGAGACAATAGTTTAGATGATGGACCACTTTGAAAGCAGGAATGTTCAAGTGCTACATTTATATGGAGCTCCTTGCTTTATTATTATCCCCTTTGCACCATTCAGGAAAAGCATGGTTGTTCCTTAATAGACGCACCATACCTTTCCATTTTCGAGAGGAAGCGTGGTTCTCTGAGCAGTGTGGCATAACACGTTAATACATTTCCAACCGTCGTCCACAGAAACGCGTGGCGTAGCCTCTTTTCAAAGTCACTCGGAAAAACCTAGAAAGCTTCAAAAAATGCGTGGGGTAGGCACGACTTCTTTGTTTTTCGCTTCCACTGGAGTGCACTGGTGGCAAACTTCTGATTTACGAAGACCGTGGCTAAGCCAGTTTCTATTCACAAGCCCAAGTCTTTCCTCATTCAGCACGCTCTATGCGGAAAATATTACAAAGGAGATTACCAATGCTAACTAGCTGGAACCAAATACGCTGTATACTACTATGTACTTTTGATGGTATTCTCTACAACAATGATATTCAGATTCATGTATTTCTTGCGAATTTCAAGACGTAGGAACTAAGTTCAGTTGTGGCTATGCAACGGCAAATCGAGATATAGCCGGCTCCTGAAGCATGCTAGTGATGCACCTCACTTTCATTCATCAGTTCAACACAGCCTGCCAACAGAGAACAGTGAGAGGGCACTATTATATTTCACATTCTTACCATGAAATTGTCGTTACCCACAGGCCTTTTTCCTACATAGATATTCTTACACTAGATTAAAGTTAGCATTTGACGTCCATGCAGGTGTTACAACCTTTCCAGTCCTTTTGATGTACCATTCTATTATACATAAAAGATATTGATGATTAAAACAGCCTTGTAAAAATTTGATACCCTGCACAGTACTAGTAACGGAGGTCTCTAATCGAGGCTTTATCTTACTGTGGTGAGGATGAACTCCGATAAGATAATTAAGATTAGATAAGATATACTCTATCAAATAGATACTTATTGAGGTAGATAGGGTTCCAGTGTGAATCTATTGTAGTGCCGTCCGTTCAGAAGTACGTCGTGGTTACAGTTACAGTCACACTCAGACGATGCTTATCAAGTCTCAAAATGTAAGTGGCATAAGATTTTTTAACAACCTCTTTTTGAATGGTCTCTTAAAATCGCTTCAACTTTTAGAAAGTGGATGCCCTAACCCCATTTCTGATCTTTTTCGTTGTGGGGTTCCTATTTGGCATCTTCCTAGCGTTCCTACATGTGCGATTAGTGAGGTAATGTTTTCATTGTAAACATCATTATGAATGTTTGGAAGATTTTGTCGGATAATAGCTGAGCCTTTTGTATTCGATCTACAGATCTATGACGAAGAGCCGACTTTCATCCAAGCGTACAGAAAAGAAGAGGAAGGCAAAAAAGTCGAAAAAAGGGAAAGAAGGGAAAGGCAAAGGCAAGGAGAAAAAGAAGGGGAAAAAGAAGAAGTAAATGAATTTGATCGTTCCCAAATAAATGATTATCTGTTAGTACCTATGTTATTTCTCCGACTTCTGGGAAGTTCAAATTTCTTGAAAGGTTATTAAGTCGATGGACATTTTGCTCGAGATCGACGAACGCCCTCATGATGTGGGAGGGTTACTTCTAATAGATTATGATTATGTATGGAAAGTGACGGAAGGGTATCAGAGTACGGGGGCCACCTACAGCTTATGAAAGTCTAAATCGTTTTACACGCTCATTGCTCACCACCACCCAGTAATGAAACGTTTGGGTTCGAGTCAGTATGTGTGACTGCGGTCGCCTCAGAGAGTGAAGGTCACGCGCAACTATCAGCTTTAGTTAGTTGTGAGAGAAATTTTCATATACTAAAGGTGAACGATGGAAGGTACTGACGTGACAATATGGGTTGTCAAGTGCGAAGCGAACCTTATTGACACACCAGCGGAGATAGCGGCTGCTTCACCTTCGAACCATACGTAATCTCCGCAAGACGCATCATGTATCAAATCGTTTAGGTGCTTCAAATCACAGAATATTCTCAAGTATAAACGCTGACAGAGTGGTCCGAACCACTGAACGCTTCCCAGACTATGGAAGAAAAACATGTTTGGTTCAGGTATTGCAGATAACCCTTGAAGGTGGGCTGCTACTGGGCTGCAGTGAGCAAGTAAGGCTGGTCAGACCTAGTGACTTTTCTGATAACGTATTGGCAGTTGACTATAAAGAGGCTCACTCTGATGAAAAGTTGTAAGTAATATTGTCGCCAAAGACATAGAGCCATCTGCAATTGTAAAATTTGGGCAAATTTCGCAACCACAAATTAGAAGCAGAAGCCCGGTGTTAGTCCCCAATTTACTTTAAGGTGACTTCGGATTGTAGCTTATGATAGTAATAACTTTGTACCTTGTAGGTTTTGAATGGAAATATTACCTGAATTAAATGGATCCAACAAAAACCAGAAAAAGAATCCCAGTAAATTATTGTGTCAGCTTAACTTCAAGCGTCGAATAGAGTGACATCGTTGAGGCCGTAGTGACGACAGCCTCCCACAACGTTTTGTTGAAAATCAAGAAGCCCTGCTGACTAAATCCTCACCAATGGAAACCCTCAATACCCTCTACCTGTAGATGAATTCTGAGATATAAATGCAGATAAGCACTACGAAAACCTAAATTAAATGACGCTGTACTGCTTCAAAGTTTCCACAAACAAAGAAATCACGCTCAAGAACGTTAGCTTATGTACATGAGGTTATTTTTGTCATTACTATAAGTCATGACGAGTCCGAAATTGGAGAATACAAAATAGCTTGGGATTTGGCGTGTTTTTCAAACACTAAAGGTGTATATGGCTGCGACTTTCAGTGTTACAGAGGGGTAAAACCACGGATGGCAGCGATGATAATCTCTCACACACTAACTGAAATACAGCAGCTATGAGTCCAAGCGTGCTACCACTCCGACCAATAAACCCCTTCCAAGCAACGCAGCTTATCAACTCAGAACATTCTCTACACCAAAGGTAGAAACAGAGGGATGCAAACTCCTGCAACCGGAGCAGTTTCGAATGTTGGTTGCCAATGCGTCCTGAAGGTGGGCAGAAACGTCATTGAAGCTTTTGATTGATAATAGATGGAAAAATCGAACGACGTATTCAATGAATAATCCGAGGATACAGTTTATAAGCGGAAGTTCGGTGAGTAACTTTTGATGATCAACATTATCGAACGCTTCCGACGGACCCGCATGTACAACGTCTACAGGCGCCCTATCATAAAGCAGTGTAGTCGAATCACGACAACGAATACGTGACTGGAGCAGAGCGATACATAGTGATTGGCTCTCTAATTTAGACACCGTGCTGCACAAGAGGAAATATTCCGTACTAACTAAGATGTTTCCTTTCAAAACTTCTTTAGAGCCCGAGAAAAGTGGAGGTGTTACCAGCAGGTTGGTAATTAACAAGACAATCGTGAGGTTTTTCCAAACTGGTGTAACGTGTGTTGTTCTCCTTTTGAAACAGATTTCTGCACCTATGAAAGGAAGATTGGAAAAATGCTGTAGCGAACCGTGCGCAAAATTGGAAAAATGCTGTAGCGAACCGTGCGCAAAATCTTTAATGATCCATGACGATGTTTCATCAGATGTCAGAGAGTAAGATGCCGGCCAGTAGTAGAGAAAACTTCTTTTGGAGCGGCAACAAAGAGACAGGCATCGATTCGAACCTGCCAAGATCAGAGAGCCTTGATAACGTTTTAGAAGGGCTTGGAGCAAATGTCAAATGTACAGTCATACTCAGCTCTCTCGCGACAGTGCACATGCGCTTTGGAAGCGTTTAATCTTTATTAAGCTCAGCTCCACGTCTTGATAGAACTTAACGAGTTGACTCAAGGCTGAGGGATCATTCAGATCATCAGGGAGATAACATACTGTGAGGTTGGCACATAATTGAATTGGCGAGGTTAACTTAACAGTTTTAAGAATTCATACGGGATCGACTGGAGTTTCACAATTCGTAACTATGGTGAGCTTTTGGTCGAGTTCATGGACAGGATACAAAATGCAGGCTCTATCAGCTGCGAGATACAGAAAATATATCGACCCAGCACAGCAGAAACAGGGTCCATCCCTTGAATACACGTGCATTTTCGGGCGAGTACCGGCGACTTTGGGCTGGCGATTCCATCGACTCAGCCAAAAGCTTGCATTCGAGTGGCTGGGAAGGGGCACGTCCACTCCGGAATAACCTGACTAGCTACCCTGCGTCAAACCAGACCCCCTTTAGAGTCTGGCAAGCTACTCGTGTGTACCCATATACTAAAAACTGTAATATGTATATGGGTCTCGTTTCCCTGAACCTGAGCGAGCTCCCAATACGGCGTTGTGTAGGACCGCTTGGGAGGGGCTGCTAAAATTTCAGGGTCGAAGCAGAATGCCCAAAAGGAGAAGGTCTAAGAAGGCAGTTTGTACCTTTGACGCACGGACGCTTGCATGGAAACGTGTATCGAAGTTCTAATGATGCAAGATAGGAAGATCAAGTACGGCATCATCGTAGTAAGCGAGTCGAGAAGACATCCCTCGCTGTACGCCGTATTCGAGGCTAGAGCAGAATATTCTTTGGAACATGCGATAGAAGAGGAATGTAGGCGTCCTCGCTAATACATACTTGGCCATGAATACAATTCTTACGAAAGCTGACAGCCAGAATCAGGCGTTGAGAGTTTGGCTCAACCTCACCTCTAACAATCTTCGTTGCCTACGCGCCATCATCAAGCTACGAAGAAGAGGAGCTGGAATGGCATCATAAGAACCTTGAAAAGCTCTTCAGAAGGAACACATTTTCTTCAAGTTTATCTTCACAGTTATGCGATGGACATGGAAGCACCTGGTGGACAGTTCCATAACGAAATAGACCACATCATCTTCTATCAGAGGTTTTGCCTGACTGATGTCGTTGTTGTTCCGAAGTTCTACACTGGATCGGATCATCGCCTCCTCCGCGCCAGATCCTCTTTTGCAATGGGTGGGAAGAGCTTCGAAGTTCAGAAGCCTCAAGCTCTTCAACTGAAGCCCTTGCGCATTTCTGGGAAAATTCCGTCATCGACGACATCGATCAAAAATACAGCCGGCTCTTCGAACATCTCCACTACTGCTAGGAAAAAGGAAATTCTACTTCTGCGAATCGTCAACGAACGTTTTACTTTCAAGATTCTTGAGCTGATACGCCAGCGTGGAATCGCGCAATCGACTAATCACTACAGTCAATCGTCAACAATTCGACAACGCTTGTTGAATGAGCGACTTGAGACATTAACGAAGACTATGTCTATGAGGAACGGATTGGTACCTAATGCTCCCTTCACGCTAAATACGAATACTTCCGAATGCACTAGCTCCGTGTATTTAGGCCGGTAAGTCTACATGGTGAACAACCTAGCTCCAGAACTGCGCAGAGCTCTGGAGCTAGTTCTGCGCCGTATGGAAGCATTTTAGAATATCGAAGGAGTAGTGAAGAAGCGAAAAACATCCGTCTCTGAGCTCACCTTTTCGGCACTGCCGTCCTTCTGAAAGGCTCACGCACCAGTGCACTTCGCGGGACTCTTTTCCTCTTGCAGCCGCATGCACAGGTCAGATGTCCGCGTTTGCTGCACAGCTTGCAAATCGCCTTTCCTCTTCTGGAACGATCCCTGGCAAAATGATCTACCTTACCACAAACGTTACAGGCTGCACGCTTTTGGGCAAGGCCTTTACTCGGGCTTTTGACATTCTTCTCTAATGTCTGTGGCCTTCTTAGACGCCCTTGCCTATTGGACAGCCTTCTCGGCCTCACTTGCGCCATTCCCAACGAGTGAAGTCGTTCTTTTAAGTGAAGGGCATCAATTCCAAGCTCCCGCTTGCTCCACAACTTCCTTTAGAGATCTTCTTTCGCCAATAAACGCTCCTTATTTCCACTAATTATGTTGACTCGATGCCGTAAACAGCTCGTTATATGTGAAATGTCGTTAAAAGGGATTGTGGTTTCATTTAAATGTAATATGGTCCATTCGTTACTACAGCGATTTTTAAAAAACTGACAATCTTTTGAAATGCTTCATTAGCTCCCCGATCGCATGATTTCAGTGTCTGCCACTTCACAGCTTTCCAGCACCTCCCATGTAGACTTTTGGTGCAATAGTAATGTGAGCACATTTGCCTCTGCTTATCCATTTCCTTGGAACTTCTCCAGCTGAAGATTTATGCATGAACATTCAGAAGGACGACCAGAACGATACTTCTGGCTCAGTTCCTAATGATTTGAAGTCCCTGCAACCTCACTCGAATGAGCCTTCTATCTTGAATACTGGGTCCTTGCTCCCGCTATAGGGCCTTTCCTTCCATCTCCTACTATTGGGCCATCCCTCCCCCTTTTCATTGAGCCTCCCGTTCCGCTCCAGTCTACTGGGTCATCGCTCCCTCGGGCAACGGGGCCTGCGCTCCCACCTTCGAATG